TGGAAAGGGGATTGACAGGAGGAGGGACTGAGCAGAAGGGGAAGGATGAAAATTTTTTTTAAACCTCCCCACAATAATTGTAATCATTACATAATGCAAACATGTACTAATAAAAAAATTTAAAAAACAACACCCACAGGTACACAATCACTTTGACCTTTGTGCTGTTTGTTAGAAACAGAAGACGAAATTCCTGTGTGAAATATATTCTCCCTACACTCTAAAAGAAAAAGCTACATCCTTATCCTCAAGGACAGGAAATTGAAACAAAAAATTCCTACAGACCTCGTTAAAATAACTTTATCTTTTAAACCTTCCATGAAATGTAGTCACATTTCACATTTACTATTCTTTGTCCAATTCAGTATGTAGCTAACTTCTTTGGGGCCTTCTTTTCTTTTCTTTTTTTTTTTTTTTTTGGTACTGGGGATGGAACTAGAATCCTTGAGCTTTCACAGCAGGCGACGAAACCACTGAGCTAAATCCCCAGCCCAGGGTCTTTTTTTCTTTATGCAAAAAAAAATAATGCTTTTCTCCTATTAATCTATTTTACGTCAGTTTAATTCTCAGACCAGACCAGACCCTAAAGAGGACAGATGTGGAGTTTTTCCATGCCTATACAGATTGCTAGCAGCAATGTGGCAACCCCAGCAGTGAAGGACAGAAGGAAGAAAGGGGGCAGGTTATTCCAACTGACAGCAGAGGAAGATGGCAGAGGAGGATGGTGGGGACTGTTTCTGTAACCATGTGAGGGAAACACATTCTGGATCACTATAAAGGGCCTTACAGGGGCTGGGGATTTAGCTCAGTGGTGTCACGCCTGCCTCACAAGCTCAAGGTCCTGAGTTCGATCCCTGATGGGGGGGGGGGTGTCTTACAAATATTCAGTATAGAGTGCCTTCTATTCACTTTGTCAAATATAGCAAAAAAGTAATTAGAAATCTTCCCCATAATTAGAAATAATTAGAAATCTTTTCCCATTCCTTATTGGCTAAAAACAGTACCGGCACTCCTGAGGTGTTAAAAACATAAAACTATAGCTGTCCTCACTGGTCCAGTAGTCAGAGTTTTAATTACTCAGAAATGAGGGACACAACTGTCCAGGAAGTGAAGATCACCTCTCAGGGTGAGGAGGAGCCTTTCAGGCAACTGTCTCAGGGCATGAAGGCCTCACACTATGGGCCCAGCACTAGTGACTTAGTAGAACAGATAAAGATGTCCCTTGAGCAAAAAGGTTACCCTTTCTTCCCATCTCAGCAGCAGCATCCAGGGCTACTCAGTGTGTGGGCAACGGCCTTGCACACATCTGTGTGGTTCTGTGTCACCGGAAGGAGACAGGGCTTGTGTGGTGCAGCCCATGTCATGAGGTTAAGATCAGTGAGATTCATTTTAGATACTTCCACACAGTACTCTAAAAAATAAACCTTCCCCACTCAGTAAACTTCATTCCCCAACAGTACTGAACAGAAGAATTTTACAGTATTTTAAATTGGAAAAAAATCATGTATTTAATACCATAAAGTAGCCCAGTAAAAATAACAATTAGCTAGCTCCAAGCTATTTTCTTTACCCTAAGGCTGTCACCCTTTCAGGTGCCTTAGGAATGTACAATGGAATCCTGGGTGCAGAATCATGACTAAATACTTAAGTATTATTAAAAGCCAAACATTATCACCTAAAGCTACTAGCATATTCATGTTTATGATGCTAAGGACTCTTTTCCCTTTCTTCTATGCCATGGGGCTCCTCAGATGCATACTCTGAGCATCCTCCCCATGCTAAGAAGCCTTTTAGGGGAGAAAAGCTAATATATCTGCCAAATTTAAACTATAAATGGGAAAAAGGCATATGATAAGCTTTGAAAGTGTATTCTATCTTTTTTTTTTTTGGTACAGGGACTTTCAACCTCAGGACTTTCCACTTGTGAGGCAGGCGGCGGAACCACTGAGCTAAATCCCAGGCCCTAAAGTGTATTCTTTGATGTCCAAATTAAGACAGTTCTTCCCAAAATGTGCCAAGGAAAAGTAAGAGCCTTCCATTAGAAATTAAAATTTTCTTTAAAAAGCTTCTAGTAGATAAGGTGTGTGAGATAACATTTGTTTTTATTCTACAAAGTACTGTGGGTTTTTTGTTTATGTAGTACTGTGGATTGAGTCCCCGACCTTTGCATGGAGCTGTATCTCTAGCCCTTTTTGTTTTAAATTTTGAAACAGGGTATCACTAAGTTGCTAAATTTCCCAGGCTGGGCCTCTCAAAATGCTGGGATTACAGGCATGTAACACCATGTGTGGGGTTATTTTTAACAGGAAGATATGTTACAAATATGTTACTTTCACTCCCTAGTGTTACTACTAGGGGAATAACCCTGTAGAAAAGGGGAAGTCACTGTAAACTTTGTTTCCTGAGTCCAGTATCAGCAACTGCATTGGCATAAAACATCTCCTGAGCTTCTTCCCCTCAAATGCCCTCTTTAAACAGGTGCAACGTTAAATTGACCTGTAGATACTCACCATGTATTTCTTTAGAATAATGACTTACATCTTACAATACATATTTAAATTACTGTTTATAAACAGTACCTGAGAAATTCACACAGCATTAGATTAACCACTGAAATAAGATGAAGAAAAAGGCACCTCCTGAACCTGGTGAGTGCATCGTTTTATTGAGCACTGACAATGTAAATATCTGCAGGAGGTGCCTTAAGCAAAAATGTTTGCGTTACTACTTGTTATAGGTTGTGTTTAGAGGGCCCACCAAAGGCTCATGCAGTCATAGGTGGGGCTTTTCAGAGGCGGCTGGATCTAAAGTGTGTGAGGCTGGGATTGATTCATGGTGCAATGCTAGGATTGAGGGTGTGAGAGGGATAGAAGCTTGTTTGCTTTGCTACCTTCTGCCCGCCATGAACTGTTTCTCCTCTGTGAAGCCCCTCTGCCACACCATCCTGCCTTGGAGCCAGCCAATTATAGACTGAAATCTCTACAGACTGTGAGCTACAATAAAACTTTCCTCCTTTAACTTTGGGTGTCAGGTATTTTCCCTCAGCAATGAAAAAAAGTAACTAAGACACAACTCAACTACTGATAATTTCATCCATTTATGTCTGTCCTTGAGACTTGACTTTGAGGATATCTGGGATAATGGATCCTGCCTCAGATTCTTTCAGATGCTAGGAAAGTGACCATCCTCTCATCTAGGGATTTCCATAATGCTACCTGTGAGGGGCACTACACTAACCACACTCCTTCCATGCTCTGCAGATTTCTAGGGCATCCTTTTGTCCTCAGTATTGGCACTTTCCCCATCCCCCAATTAGGACAGCCACTCACAAAGAACTGGTACACCCCAGCTGCCTCCTCTTACCCACTTAATGTTATGGGGGTACTGAGTACTGAGTGAGTACTCTACCATTCCTACTAGAATGAATTTTTACTGTAGGCAGGTTGTAGTTGTGGCCTCATTAAGGTACTATGAGATTGTTAAACTTTAAGAGGTCATCACTGGCCATGTGCTTGCCTCTGTGTTTGGGATTGTGGCCTGGACAACACATCACAGAATGCCCTTACCTGCAAAGGTGCTCACAGTGGCCCAACATCAGAATCACTTGTAGGGTAGGGAGTCCTGAAATACCAATGACTGGATCCCACCTTAGACCAATGGACCACAATATTTGGCATCAGTAGTTCTTACAAGTTTCCCAAATGATTTTAATACATGATCAGGAATGGAGGCATTAAATTAAATCACAAACTGGGACTCAGAATCTCTGGTCCTGGATATTAATTGTGAAGTAGAAAGGCTGACTAAGGGTATAAACTCTGGAGTAGGCCTGGCTGCTCCAAGATGTTAGCATTAGGCTGATAAAAACCCCGAAGTGGGGCAAAGCTAAGGACAGACACCATGAAGATCCCTGATGCGAGTTAGCTTAGGCAAAGGCAGAGCCAGGAAGGTCTCACACCCAACAGACAGTCATCAGGGCGGCACCATGTCCAAACAGGTATGTGAGCCAAAAGGCACACTGGGATCTACCCCAAGAGCTTCTGGGGACTGTCAGCAAAGTAAAGTGCAGGACACTGGAAGAACCAGTAACATGGCATATTATGGAGCAACCTGTGCTGGGCTCCAGAGAAGGAGTGTGAGTGTGCACAAATGGTTCTTCACAAACCCCTATCATGCGTTCAGTGTCTGACAAGACAAATAGCTGCCCACTGCAGAAGCACTTATGAGCTAAATCCGAAAAATGTGATTTTAAGGCTCTTTTCTACTTTTACTTATAGATAATAAGTCAGCACATGATACAGCTAATAGCTTCAGTATGGTAAAAATGAAAAATATGTTCACTGATACTGGAACGCTGTATCATTAAGATGACCATTTTCCCCAAGTTGGTACACAGCTTCCATGACTCCCAGAAGGAAGCAGGCACCTTTTAATTTTTTATTCCTCTGTAGAAAGTGACTGGCTGATTGTAAAATTAACAAGGGAATGCAAAAGATCTAGATTATCTAAAATAATCTTGGGGGAGGGGATGTAAAGTCAGAGGAGTTGCCCTGAATCCAAAATTGTGGATCTCTTAACAGCAAGTTTGCCACAGTAAAACCTTATTTTGCACATAAATTAATTGTTAAAAGGAAAAGCTTTTTTTACTAATTATTTACTGTACATGCACCTAACATATCAAAATAATGCAATTCTATTTCTACTGAAACACTGTAGATACAGGATTCCTCAGAATGTGACCTAGGGACCACTCACCAGAATCACATTTTAGAGACTTTCTTTGAAAATGCTAACACATGGTTTCTCCCAGTCCTAATAAATCATACCCTTAGAAGTGGGCTCCAGGAATCTTCATTTCTAACAAGCATCCCAAGCTGATTCTGATGGGCCCTAAAATTTGAAAAATGAACCTCTCTAGAATTTATTAGATTTTTCCCTAAACAACAGTGGTCTTTTCTAGCTAACAAAATTTTGGTTATCAGTAAAGAAACAAGACTTACCTTCTCCGGAGGATGGTTAGCTATGAGGGATGTAGCCCTGTTGGTAAATATGTTTGTTGAATACAGGTTTTTATATTGTGTTGCAACTTCTTCACCATCTCGAAAATCAAGAGCACACCGCGTGACGTTCAAAGCCTTGATGAACACACAGTGCTCATGGGTGTAGTAATCTTCACTACCTAGGAGATAACCTACAACAAGAATGGAAGGCAAAAACTGTCAGCATAAAAATTGTTAAACAAACTAACGTTTCAGTATTTAATTGCCTAATGCAACTGATTATCCCTGACAAGGCTAATCAAATGACAAAACTCATCAGAGCAACACTCTTAACATCTCTATATTTGGTAGAAGAAGTCATTAAAATATTATCGCATAAAAATTCAAATTCATTCCTAACTCAAGTCTTTAAGAACACAGGCTCTATCGTGTAACTCATAAAGTGAGTGAGTCCACTAAAATATGTTTTAAAACATCAGCATTCAAATACACTGAAGATAATAACATCAAAATCCTTTAAAGCTATCTAAATGGCAAAGATAATAGAAATGTGATTCGTTACAGGTTTTTTACTGTGAGGTGGTAGTGTACATATGCACAAGATTCAAATAATGTCATTTGTTGGTACTGAGCATAGCAGTGGCTGCCAGGTTATTTATGAGGGAGCGGAGGAGCCATCTTTAGTCAGATGCTGACACCCACTGGTGGAAGATACAAGCCGTTCCAAACAGAGAAGCTCTGGACAAGCAGGCAGCCAGCCACAAGACCAAACTAAACTATAGCACTGAATTTAGATTTTTTTTTTCTACCTACAAGGATCTCAATTTTGCCCCCAATTTAAATGGGATCAATTGCCTATTCCACAATTTAGACTTAAACATGTTCTATATTTTCCTAAAATATTAAAATAGGTTGTGTGTATTATGATTCCATGTATATCAATGTCCAGAACAGGTAAATCTAGAGGCAAAAAGGAGAGCAGTGAGTGCTGAGGGTGGAGGAGGAGGAAAGAAATGGAAAGTGACTGCTAATGGGATTTTGTTTCTTTTTGGGGGTGATGAAATGTTCTACAATTGAACTGCAATGATATGACACACACTAAATTTATTAAAAATCACTGAATTGTATATCTTAATTGGGTGAATTGTGTGTATGTGAAGCACATTTGATAAATAACTTTTCTGGGCTCTTAGCTACAAGGGGTATATCAAAATACATGCGGAATGATTACTTTTTTAAAACTTATTACAGTAAAAGACACATTGCCATTGATTCCCCTTCAAAAATCCTCCCTTTCACTTCAAACACTCTTATCCCATCATTCTTGCCACTTTCTGAAGCAGTTCTGGAAGGCCTCTTTGGTGAGTTCTTTGTGAGAAACAATAAAGAACATGGTGAATGCAGCTGCTGAGTGCCATCCAAAAGAAAAGCAGACTCATAAAAACATTATGGTGTGTCCTCATCTACCTCATTCACTGGATCTGGCACTAAATGATTTCTTGCTCTTTACAAAGTCAAAATGATCATGAAGGGTAAATGTTTTGAATGAATTCAAGACATCAAGGCAGCCATGAAAGTGTGACTAAAGACACAAAGAGGGCTTCCAGGACAAGAAGGATTTTTTAAAAATTTAAACATCTGTCGTGTTTTTCTGTCACATCTTGTATCCCCTGATATATATATATATGAATATGAAAATGATTATGATAAAGCTGGCCTACCCTTTTCCTCAGGCATGGACTTTTCCCTAAATTGACAATTAAGAGTCTTAAATAGCTTATATGTCTCTTTTTTCATGATCCAATAAATTCATTCATTAGTACAAATAAATTCATTCATTAGTACCCTGTCTTAAGGTGACTTTGTATATAATCTTTTCTCCTACATATATATTAGACAGGAAAATCTAACATGTTTGCTAATTAAGGTTTAACAGAAAAAGAAATATATCCACGAAAATAATTTCTATCCTTTCATGGGTGATTAAAGTAGTTAGGATGTACCAAGAAAAAGCCTAAATAAAGCCTCTAGCTTCACTTGATTTTGGTTGACTTTACAAATCTCAAACCAGGCATGGTGGTGCACATATGTAATCCCAGCACTCAAGAGGCTGAGACAGGAAGATTCCAAGTTCAGTCACCCAGGGCTACCTAGTACAGGAAGACCCTGACTCAAAACAAAAAAATCCTAATTTTATAGATCATGCAGCTGAGTAATACATTATTAGTCTCCCACTAGCTTTGTCATAGACAACACCTCTGATTGAAGCAACGTGTTGGGTGAAAATTATTCCCTGGCAAAAGTTGCCTTTTGCTCTCCTCCTCCTGCTGTATCTTAATGACTTAACTATAAGTTTAGCTAGTCTTGAAACTAGAAACTTTCTAATCAGTAACTTTTCTTTTGAGTTAGAGAACCCAGAGCATTTGGTGAACTTCAGGTAACAGCAGCAGGCATATCAGAAAAGCAGACCACCCAGCACCCCACAGCCCTTTCTGAGATTAAAATATATCTCCCCCAAATTCCTATACCTGAGTCCCTGAGCAAGAGGACAGAAATTCCTATCTTACAACTTGCTACCAATAAAGCTCTTTCGCTTTCTCTCTCTCTCTCATAGAGTGGCAGCCGAACAAGACCTTTCATAGTTATAAGTACACTGGAGGTCCAGTTTGGGTTTTCAACAACTACCAAGTATCAGAGCTTACAGAAATAACCTCAGGTTTCATACCTATAAATGTACATGTTTTCTATCACTTGGGAGAATTTATGTGTAGAATATACTTGATTAGATAATATATGAACTATTAAAATTGAACTATCACAACTAGGAGAATTCCAGAAGTAAAGCTCTTGTTTTCTATCTAGATGTCTCCCAAGAGCCACATGCAGGGCTTCCAGAAGGGGACTGAATCATGGGAGCCTACTCTGACTCCCGGTCAGGAGGCGGGGCTGGCCAGAAGGGGCGGTCACTGGGGGTGAGACTAGAAGGTGTCTCTCCCTCCCTGACTCCCCTTCCCAGCCTTCCAGCCTTGTGCTGGACAACTATGGGCTAAAACTGTGAGTCAAAATAAACCTCCTCTTTTAAGTTGTGGGTGTTGGATATTTTATCCTAGCAATGAGCAAATGACCACATATGTATTTGGCCAAACTGATCCTAAGCAACTCTCTGATGATCACATAATGCTTTCATCATAACAGTCACTCATAAATTTGAACGCCGATGCTGAGCCCACAGATAAGAACAGCCTATGCACTTTGGGGGAAAATTAGAAAATACTTTTTTGAACAACTCAATCTCTGACTGCTTTAACAGTTGTACTGAAATACAGCTCACATGCCATACAAGTCACTCATTTAAAGTGTACAATTCCTTGATTTTTAGGTATTCAGAGGGTCATATAACCACCATGACCCCAATTATCTGACTGTTTGTAGCAGAACATCAGTGTGACAATAACCACTGTGTGGTCACCACACTCCTCTTGGCAGCAGTCATCTTTCATATGAACGCAAGCGTTTGTTCATCTGGGTCCTATTAGACTTATACCTATCATGTCTACCTCTTTTTTCAACTGAATTTTTAAGTATATAATTTGGCTTTTAATAAAAAAAATTCAAATATCCATAGTCTACCCTTCTGCCAGAGTATAGATATCAACTTATATTTTAGCAAAGGCCTGGCTGAAAAATCTCAAAGGAAGTACAGGCTGTTCCTCTAGAATTTCCACGATGACAAAGTGGTCTTACCCTAAAGTCTGACTTTTAACAGCTACCTGAGGATGCTGAGGACACAGCTGGGTTCATCCAGAATGCCAGGTTGATTAGCAATGCCTGTAAGAGCAACTCATGGGGGAGGGCACACATGCTCTCCTGGCTGAGGCCCTTGGATCTTGATTTTGACTGGATCCAAGGTGGCATCACAGAGGCAGGTGCTCTGATTCCATCGAATCAGGTGTAGCCTCCATATACATCCCTTTTACTGAATTTTACTTTCATGCATTGGCCTTTGCACGAATGGAAGAGAATCTTCTATAAGAAAACCACCACTTTATTACTAGCATAATGTCTTGTTTGGTTGGTTTTTTTTTGGTACCGGGGATCGAACTTGGATCCTTGCGCTTGCGCAGCAGGCGGCGAAACCACTGAGCTAAATCCCCAGCCCCACTAGCATGATGTTTTTACGCATGTTGTTCCCTTTACCTTCTCCCAAAGGAGAACTTTCTCTTAGGCCTAAGAGCCAGAAAATGCTTTACTTACTCTTCTTGAACATCTGGTTTCCATTTATTCTGTAAATAATGTGACTCTTACAGCATTTCCCTTTTCTTTTCTTTCTCTGTCTGTCTGTCTCTCTCTCTCTTTCTCTCTCTCTCTCTCTCTCTCTAGACTTTAGAAATCCCGTATCTTAGAGTTGACTAAGAAGCCCACCTAGAACCACAAATTTTTTTAATAATTTGGTGCCATTAATCATGTTTTTCTACTCACCCTGATCTTGTTATTATAGCCAAAGTTTTTTACATTCAATATGTGTTCCCTTTTGGCTATGGCAGGCTGTAAATAAACCAAGCAGCAGATGGAAGGTAGGGAGGTAGCTAAATAGCTAGACAGAAAGATAGCTCAATATAAAAAGAATTTGACAGAAAGATATAGAGCTACTGGCAAGATAAATAGGTTATTAATTAAGGCACAGTTTGTAACAGGTTTAAAGGGCATATTTTAAAACTAACTTTAGGTTTCACATTTATTTTTACAGGGCTATCAAATTCATAAAATCTTATTATTTTCCTATTACCATTTGTTATTTGTCTTCCTCATTTTATTAGTATTAGTTTTGATCCAATTATTATAATTGATTCTCCTTGATACAGTGATTTCAAAAACATACCTCACAGATGGGAGAAGGATGCCAACAGAAGACAAGCTTCTGCCACCCTCCCCAGAGAGAAGATAAAAAAAAAAACCTTTGAATACAGCCCTCAATGAGAAGAAATACGGTAAACTTTTGTGAAGGAAATACTGTATGCTTGTATTAGGTTTAACCTGTAATTAAGTACAAACCAGAAGGCTGTATTCCCTCTAGGTAAAAAGGCTCCAGGAGAGGTACAGAGAGCAGACCTTCAAGACTAGGGAGCCTCGGGGCTGGGGCACAGGGAATTGCTGAGCAGCTGCACAGGCTCACCTCTGCCCCCTCCCAGAGCATAGCTGGTCACAGTAGTAACATTAGAAAGTGGCCTCTTGCTCAAGTTTCCCATTATTTCATCTGATTAAACCTGGGTGTGTTTTATAAGAAGGCTGCAGTTAGTCTGAGCTGTTAGAGAAACACATGTGTTCCCATTACCGAAGTAGGTGTCAAATCCTCGGCGGGTGGGAAGGCATTCTTTCTGGTACATCCCCAGGTGCCACTTCCCGACCATGTGGGTAGCATAGCCTGCTTCCTGTAGGAGCTGGGGCAGGAGCTTCTCATCCAGAGGAACACAGCTGGGCTGACAGGGCCAGATTATCTGATGCTGTAGACCTGTGTGGATCTTTGAAGAGAGAAACCCAAAACTATGCATGAATGACATTGAGACACTGACAATAAGTACATCAAATGGCTGCCGATTTACTGGACACATCTGTTGATTTGGATGTTTAACTTGTTCCCATACTGGTTTAAAGATATTTCCTCACTCAAGTAGAATAATGAACACAAACAGGATTTGAAAAGATGAATAGAACCATGGCAACAAACATGAGATATTTTCAATAAATGTTTATCAAGGCTCCAAGTCAGAAACCATTAACTTTTTACTATCTAAAAAAAAAGTATCAATAACATAAGGTGTGCATCTTTCAAGGAAATTCCTGTGCACACAAGTTGGTATTTGATTAGAATGGCAGTCTTCAAAGATAACATGATTTTATTTTTGTTAAGTGTTATTTAATGACATGATGAAACCGACGACATGTTTCTTATTCTACTTTGCATAAACCATAGTTGCAAAAGACAGTGATCAACTTTTTCTTTAAAAAAGCAGCCCTCCCCTCTGTTTGGGGTGCCTCACACAAGTCTGCCCAGGTTCAAGCTCCACACTGCTGCTAACCTTTAAGAAACAACCACTTGTTGGATTTTAGAATATTAAAATGGAATTTGCACTATAATTGAATTACTCCACTTCCAATGGGGTTATGCCCCTGATAAACCCATCACAAGCTGAAAATATCATAAGTAAAAAAAGGCAATTAATACACCTAACCTACCAAACATCACGGCTCACCTCAGCCTACCTTTGCTGTATTCAAAACACCGCATTAGCTTGCAGTGGGACAAAACCACCTAACACAAACCCTTGTTTTTGTTTTTGTTTTTTCCCCTCTTTCTGATACCAAGAATAAAACTCGGGGCCTTGTACACAGCTAGACAAGCACTCTACCACTGAGCTACACCTCAGCATTTTTTTTTAAGACAGGGTCTTGCTAAATTGCCCAGGCTAGGCTCAAACTTTCCATTCCTCTACCTCAGCTCCCCAGAATGCTACCATTACAGGCATGTCTAGCAAAATTTAACAGCTTATATAATTTATTGACTACTGTACTGAAAGTTAAAAACAGAATGGGTATGGTTTTGTTTTGTAAAGATAAAAATTCTTAAACTGAACCATTGTAAATTTCAAATTGTACATAAAAAAACGTCTATTAAAATATTCCTCCTTTTTCCATTAAAAGGAAAACTACAAATCTGTGAGGCCAGATTTTCTTCATCAATTTTTACCAAAAATATACTAAAATATATTGCAACAGATTGACTAGCAGAAGCAGTTTAACAATCTTTTATGAACACAAAAGATGTTCAAAAAATACAAAAAATGCTACCCTTCCCAATTATTTTATTTTTTAAAGTACAGCTGTTTTTTGTTATTTATGGTAATGTGTAATGAATTTATTATTGCTATTTTTCATTGAATAAAATATTTTTATAATTTCTGTTTCAATTTCTGATAAGGTAGATTGTGAATGGTATAACTCAATGTACGCTGCTTGGGCCCTCAATAATTTTTAAGCAAATGCAGAGACCCTAAGGCCAAAAAGCTTGAGAACCACTCCTCTACTGCAGTGCAGTGACAGAGTGATACCTGAGATAAGGAAAGCTCCTCTGAGGACAAGATGCCTAAGCAGTTAGATGAGCGAAGGAATGAGTCTCAGAGGACCTGTGGTAAGAGCAATCCAGGCATAAGGAATAAAAACTGCCAAGACCATGAGACTCAAACTTGCATGGTGTCCATTCAAAGACCAGCAGAGAAGCCGTTGCAGCCCTGTCCCAGCTCTTGGGCTGACAGATGCTCCTGCACCCCGACAAGGTGTCCCCACTGGGCTGCTTCCTGGTGGGCCAGGTCTTCTTCCCCTCGAACTTGACACCTGCCACCCTCCTTGTCCTAGCCTAGCTGAGGAGGAGTGACTCTTTTAACATGACTCTGCCCCAGACGCCAGCTCCCCAGCACTAGGAGCTCCTGGCTTCCAGGACACAGAGTGTCCAACTGCCAGTTGACTGCTAGCATGGCTCTGGTGTCCACAGCTGCCGAGGATGGGCAGCAAGCAATCTGTTATGAATACATGGTTAACAATGTGTTTGTGAGTGATTTACTTGTTGTATAATTTAAAGTAAATAATATAAGGCTCAGGGAATTACATCTCATTCTGACTCTATCACTTACTAGCTTTATAACATTAGGCAGTAACTTACTTCAGTAAATGAGTATTGTAATTGGGCTCAAGCTCCTCACCTGTAAAAGAAGGTAGCATCTCCCTCCTGAAGTTGTTGGGAGGACTAACAAGATAACATAAAATGCAAAGTATACAATACACACTTAACAGCATCATGGTAGCAACTGTAAGCACTGTTATTCACACATCTCTCCCTCTTGCCAATACCTTGGTGTGTACTATGGTAGAGATACCATCACATAAAATGCACACCTATCCTGCTAATCCACAGTTCTATCAGTACTCACTAAATGCTTATCCCTGATTTTCTCAGATGAGACAGACCCACAGATTTTTGCTTTGTTTTTCCTTTAAATATTTGACAATAAGCAGATACAAGTGAACTCCCCAAAAAACTTCAAATTGATGATCTTTGTTGTTTATTACAAGCAACAATTCACTTTCTGACAAGCTTTGACATAGTCTTGGATTTTATTTTTTGTGTATCTTTCCAGAGCCAAAACCTTTTGGAATCACACCCACTATGGCTTGATTTCATGATATCTTTCCACACAGTCCTAAAGGAACCACATGGGATACCTTACATGTTAATAAAGTAGGTTTATTTTGAGAGTGATAAATAAGTTACTACCTTGATGATGGTGATGGTTTCACAGGTATATAGACACATCAAAACTTGTCCAGTTTACTTTAAGTATGTGTGATTTATTGTAGGTAGATCATACATCAATACAGCTGTTTAAAAAAGAACATGAATTTCAGCTTTTCTATTGAGATTTTATGCCTCTCTCAACAATAATTGGGTACCTACACTGGGATGCATGCCAGATGCCTTCCATTTGTCCTGCAATCCACTCCATCATCCTGCCCTTGGCCCCAGGAAACTACCCTGTGAGGACCAGACCAGAGTATTACTGTGCCTCCGGCTTCTCATGGGGTCAGAGCTAATGGAGAACCTTGGCTGGAGGGGAGAGGACAGAAGAGAGTAAGGGATATCAGGCTGCCAGGTTGCCTTGGCCTGACCACCTCTGTCTCTCTACCGAAGGCCACTCTGAAGGTAACTTTTTCTACAAGTTTCTTCTAGGTTCTGGTAACCACCTACCCCTTTCTTCCTCCCCTTTGGTCTAGGGGTAGTAACGGCCCCACTGGGTCACCACACAGCCCGTGTTTCCCTACACATTCACACCTTTAAAATGAATCCTTTGTAAATAAACCCTCTCTAAATTATCCTAACTTGAATATACTGTTTCTTTCTTGGGACTCTAAATAATAAAGAGGTTATAATGTCCAGGGAAAGGGAAATGTTGCTCTGAACATATAAATACATTCTCTCTCTCTCTCTCTCTCTCTCTCTCTCTCTCTCTCTCTCTCTCTCTCTCTCTCTCTCTCTCTCTCTCTCTCCCATCCAAGGATTCTTTCCATCATTAGTACTATAAGTTTAATCAACAGAAAATTGATCCTAGGCTCAAAACTTCCTCATATATACTAACTGACAAGCAAGAAGGATATGTAAAGATAGGTTTTATGGATCCCAAAAGGGCCAGTGGAGATAAATCCTAGATGCAGATTTCCTTAAATGGAACATTCATCCATCACATGCAGAGAATTAACTGATCGCTAGAAAGTACTGCCAAGAGATGCTTCACAATTCAGTTTTTCTAAGCCCTGGGCACTATGCCAGGTGGTCAGCTGACGCTGCCTCCATTATCTACAATCATGGAGCAGGGAATCTGTTCTTTCCAGTTTCTGAGAATTTATTTGACAGAGAATTTTTATGGCATTATTGGGAAGCAGAAGCCAAACTCTGGATGACAGCCAAAAACATGTTTTTGTCTGTTCAAACACTATCTGAAGTCAGGAGGCTGTAAAGTGTTGGGAGACAGAAAACAGGCAAATGTCAAGCTGGTTCCAATCCAGCACTTCAGCTTAGCACAAACTATGGAGCCACACTGTGCTTCATGGGCGGGATGGTAACAGGTCACCAAAAGGAAACAAGAGGAAAAAAGAAAGGTGCTCTATAAACACAGTAGAATCTAAACTCTTCAATTCTACCACCTGTCTCCATAACCAGAGCGCAGGTATGAGTAGAGATGGTATATGAAATTCCTCATGGGCACCTCCCTCAACCGTGTGTAGCTACCTCTTTTTCATTAACTAAGTCCTCTTTCACAAACACCTCTTTGCCCATCAAGGATTCACCCCACACAGGCTAAGGGTCTGAAAACCCAGGGAGGGCCTGCCCTGTTTCCAGGCTGGTTCCTTGAGATAACTGATGTGAATTCCTTGGGCCAAGTGTGGCCCATAATAATTTATTTGGTCCCATCACTTTTTCTGTCCTTTGGGACCTAAGAGGTCCTTGCAGGACAGTCTTATAAGCCTAAAAGAGAAAACCAGTACCCTGCAGGAGGAGAAGAGGATGTCTGCTTCCACATCAAAACCTCTTTCAATTCTCTGAGTTCCAGGCAATTCTCTGGTTATCTCTCTGGAAGCTCAGAGCACAATATTTCAGCCACCCTCGTAAGAAACTACAAGGGCTATGTGTGCCATACGCATACACACGGAAATAACACCATTTCTCTCTCAATCTCAGCAGTGATGAGCTAACACCCTGCTGAGCAAAGGGAGGCTCCATCCAGTCCATCTGACTTGTGCGAGATGAGCTCAGGTCCTCATTGTGCCCACAACAGTACTTAAAATTCAGAAAAACAGGCAGTGCTGCCTCTCTACTGCACACACCAGAGAGCTGGGACAGAGGCTTCACAACCAGAGCACAATCATAGTCATGCTGGTGGCCATTCTTGAATTGAGAATTTCTAGGTTGTGC